AAATTCTATTAAATCCTAATAAAAATTAAGTTAAATTAGAGGTATCACTTATATAAAGATACATAAGAGCAGGTGATAGCTTCAATCGAACATTAGATATCGAGATTGTTTGTTTTAGCGGTGATATTTTATAAAGACAAAAATTTTTTCGCACTTTGGTTTAAATATTACTTTAGTATTTTATCCTGAATATATAATTCAGAGCATGGTTACGGGACGCCATAGGTCGTTAGCGACTGCACGATGCTAGGCGCAAAAGTTAGCGATCTCTATGGATCGTTGGCAGGTAACTTTTTTTCGCGTGACTTTCGCAGGAAGAGAGAAAAGCGCGCCGTACGGGCGAAAGGGCTCTGGAACGAACCTAAAGGCGAGGCAAGGTATTTCCACAGCAAGAAGAACCGCGATTAGAACGATTACGGGGCTGCGGCGTGCGTGTGGAACGGTTCCATATATCTAGCCAAGCTTTGCGCAAACGTGCGCTCGGTCTTGGTCTCAATTAACGCAATTACTCGCTCCCTCGTCTAATTACCTATCAAACGGAATTATTATCGCGCGCGCGTATCGTCTCTAATGAACGTTATTAATTGCTTGATAATTTTTCGATAAAGCACGCCGCGTAATCAAGTTATTATCCCACAACGCTCGTTTCCGTTTTTAAGATGCCGCCGCCGTCGCCGTCGAGTTATTTTTCTGCCTCTTCCGTAAATACCCGTGAATGTCTCGAACGTTTAAATGTTTCCTCGAGCGCGAAACGATGGAATTCACGAGCAAGTAAGCGGGTTTGAAGAGAAACAAAAGCGTGTGAAATAAAATCTCTCTCGCAACAAAAAGCGGATAGGTATTAGAAATTACGGGATTAGGATTAATTAGGATTCGGTTCACTTCCACTTCAAGTCTTTGAAATCTCGATAATGCGCGCAGCGCGAAAGGCCGATCGTTGGGAAGTAATGGACGTTTTTCAAGGAAGCGATGATAACTTAAGCATCGGTTAGGGGCGCCGCTTCGAGGCAGCGCGTGCAGCAGGTGATATCAAACTGAAGAGCCGTAAAATTCCGTGAGCGAGACCGAGGGTGACGCTGGCCAAATAACAGCCGGGGATGTCCCGTCACGGGCGCTTTTAAGGCACGACCGCTTCCCCTAATTTCTTATCTGCCGGGGCCAATTTGATAGATCGGCGATATAGAAAGTAGCCTTCTATAAAACGGGGCAGCCTGCGCGCCACGGCGGACAGGTGCACACCTTGTCCAGGATGCACACACATATCCAGCCGGGAGAGTGAGACCGACGCACCTGACCGACGACGCGGCTATAACCGATGCGGCTTATACTTCGGTGTCTTTATTACCAGTCAGTGCGCGCGCGAGATCTCCTCGCGTAAAAGCGCGAGATACTTTCACAAATTACGAGATAATCAGAGGTTTTCGTGCATGGTGCACGCGCGTTATATTGCGCGCCGCGTACGTACCCGCATGAAATCGAGATTGCGACGATTATATTATTGAATGCACGCACAGAGAAAGAGCAAACGCCATTAATTATGCCGCCGTTACCGCGATTATCGTAATCCTTATCCTTCTCACCATCGTCAGCGCTGGCGGGATTATCGATACTATGAATTTACGATAATGGTACGTGTCTCCGCGAATTCAACTAATTTTATGTGATTTTAATAGGCGAGTACACGGCTATTAGAAGTGCCAACACGTATACATGTCGTGACATGATAGAGACTTGAAATCATAATTTTTCTCATGGTTTTAATTGTTTTCTGGTAATTCTTTTTATCAATGAAGCTAATTTCTCTGTTTTTCACTCTCATTAATACTGAAAAAATAGTTCAAAAATTGATAGCGGTAAGATTTCTCAATACATCATTTCTCTTTTAAATAAAATTGTATATATATTTTTAAGACGTAGTTACTGTTAAGCATCACGGTTACTGTTTACTGATAATACCCGAAGAACATTTCCGGCGTTTCGCGTACTTTGGAACGAATACTTCGGCCGAGTCGTCATGACGCAAGAAGCCGGCTCGCGCTCGGTTTAATACATGTAGCACGACGCAGGGTTTTTGAGCGAGCATGACTTCAACGTTCCCACGAGACGTAGGCCCGACTTTTGTCCCATGATCGAGCAAAGCGAACGAGCTAGCGAGCATCCTCCGACGAGCCGACGAGCCCGGACGTTCGCGCACGCACTCATGACGGACGGACGGACGACAAGCACGTACACCACACACAGAACGTGTATGGTACAGTCCCAACCGTGAATAAGCCTTCATTTTTTATAAGAACGGTAGCCCAAAAGTCTTTATAAAGTTAACGAGAGAAAGGGAAGAGAGAGAGAGAGAAACAGAGAGAGGAATTTGTTTCTATAAAACCTATCTTTTTACATATCGTTAAATTTATTGCAAAAACGCATGTAAGGAAGACATAATGGACTAAGGAATAATTACACTATAGGGATATAAGGATATAACTGCAAAAGCGATGTATGGTCATAAATTGCCGGTGGCCTTTGAAAAAGATTTAGCGATAGTAGCACTAGCACGGCCTTGCTCCAATTTCGCAAAAATTGAAGCTTGCAAAGATCACGGGAGGTTTCGCGGTTAGGCTGTATTTTCGGCCGAGTGTGTTTAGCCAATATATTTCAGTGATTTAAAGGCAGATTGGAAGTTCGAGCGGGGCCACGCGAGACCCGAGTCTCGGGACTATTTGTGGTGGCGACTGTATGCACACGTGATAATACACACGCGAGCACACAAAAGGTTCAGCTTTAGTACGGCGGTACGTGATACCAGTTTCTACGTGGGTGCTGGACGTTTTACGACTTTCGGTGGACTCGGAAAGAGAGGGATGTCTCTCTTTCATAGGACAGGCAGTGAATTTCTCGTTTGATTCCGCGATAGGTATCTTATCTGCGTGCGCGACGACGAGTTTCACGAAATATATCAGTCTCATGTCTGGTACATTTCCGCGACGCGACGGTTGCCGCGCCGCTGCCGCGCTTGTAAAAGAGGTGGCAAAACGTAATTAAGACGCGTGTGTGTGGGTTAATATTATATTAAATACTCGTTATTTGTTATCTCAATGGGAAAAGCGTAAAAGAAACGAGATACTTTCTTTTCTTTTCCTACAATTGTAAATCAACTCTTGGTTCGGGTCCAATTAAAGGAGGCGCGGCTCTTAGATTTTAGCGGTGCGTAACCGGAACGCTACGCGTGTAACGTATGCGCCGTTAAATTAGAGAAGAAATCGGGAGATAATTATTAGCACACGGAAGGATAGCTGATATAATCGTAAGAGAGTCTCCGGACTGACGGCCGGCTGAAAAATGTTGTTTTGTTGCCGTGTCTACGGTGCGTTACGATGTGTATCGATCCTGCATTATATTTGTTCACCGCGATTGCGACTAGAAACGCAACTTGAGAATTTATTCGGGCTCTCCCCTTTATCCATAAATTAATTAACGTATTAAATTAATAAGGCCAATCTCACGATCGTTGTCAACGCGTGCTCATTTATTAAAACGGGTATAGGGTGTATCAGATGCCGTGCGCTTTCTCTCGGGTTTGGAATATATAAAATTTGTAGCTAAGAGAAAACAAGCAATTTCTATATATATTACCGATAAAAAGTAATAAACATATATAAATTTGCCACCGCCAAATTATTTCTTTTAACGTGAGCGCTTAGCTGCGAGCAAATTTGAGACGATAAACGCCCAACCGCCGAGATATAACGTTTACAAGCCATTTGTGTAGATCAACTAAAATTTTTTTTTCTTGATTTTATCATTTTCCCTATACATTATTAGTAATTAGACTCTTCTCTTCCATAATAATATCGGTGCCCAGTATCATCATCGATTTTCGTCGTTCCCTTTATTCCGACGGCTAGTTTCAACACTTTTGGGGTCTCGTCTCTTCCGCTCGTTAACCAGGAAGAGTCGGGGCTTATGGTAATTTAAAGTAGTCATCCCCAGTCGATTCTTTCCTAAAGCTATTAGGCGATCATCTCGGATTATCCTACGATTCCGGGTTTACTCGAAACTCGACTTTTCTAAGTTTTCGCCCTTTTGCGTGCTCGCAACACATTCAGTCGTGTATGCTTGCTTTTCACGTCGATCCGCTAGGATTAGCAGCCGGATATACGCGGTATACTCTGAATAAGAAAAAAAAAGTTAATTCTGTCAAACGAACGAAAACTGTAAGAGGGCCTCCTCGAACGTTTCTCGTGAGAAACGACGAGGCCATTGGAGAAATGTTATTCTCGCCGGTGCCAATTACCAGCGTAACAATTATCAGATCTCGCCAGATCGGTAATTATGTATTACGTCGGTACAATGTTGGGTTTATTACAACCACGCGGTCTTATCTCTTGTGATTGTATTAGTTAGGAAATCATTTTTTTCCCCGCATGCCGAGTAACTGTACCGACCCCGGGGTCGTTACCACATTATCATTACTTACGTCTTTGTTATCGAGAAAACGCGACCTGCTCTCGCGCGGCAACCTTACAATTAGATTCTCAGGGTGTTATGAGGGCACCGCTATTGCCGCTCGTGTCTCGCTATTGCGCCGACGTGCGTGCGCGCACACGGCTCAGGCCGAGAGAGATAATCGAAAGAAAATACAGTTAAAACTATCAATGTATACGCGTCCTAAGTGGCCGTAAATTATAATTACCGCAAAATCCCATGGCATCGCGGCGACGATAAGTCATATTATAATGGCCATTAAACAGAGTAGGTAGCGTTGCATGACTCCGTTCATTTTGACGAGGCACTTCTTTTGGAATAAAATAAGGTATCTCAGAGAGAAAAGTCGAGGCTATTAAAAATAGGCACAGAGAACGAGTGGGAGGAGATCGGAGTTTTTTTTCCCATATCGAAAATTAGCGACAGATTTGACGGAGAGTCGTCACGCTAACTCCGCGCTGCTGTCGTCGCGATTTTTATAAATCGTTTATGACGCGATCACGTGAGACAGACTTACGTACCTGCGCAAAGGATATCGCGGACAAGAAGGTGGTAGCAGTTTCCAACGAGGCGCCTTACGGGGAGTTCCCGACAGCACGGAATAACTTTGCGGTTGATTTATACTTCCGACAGGCGTAACGAGCTTGCGGTCAGGCTGCGGCGTCACGCGTCCATCGCCTGCACAAAAAAGAAATAATAAAAAGGATAAATCAATAAGATATTGCGTATTTTGTTTCTCATCGCGCAAATAAACGGTATACCCGCACCAGTTTGCGCTCAGTTTCCGTTGACGCCCTCAAATTGAAAACTTGACATAAATAAAATTACACGCGCGATGCTATGGGAATTGTCTTTTCAGTTCGAAATATGTATTGCACACGCCAAGATTGAAAACATCTCGAAACGCTATAAATTCATTATATCACTTACTTATAAAGTGCCAAAAGAGCAAAGAGAATTTTACAAAATAAATAAATATTATTTATACGAGTAATTTGAGGAATTTTTATCTTTGGCTCTTATATTTATTTACGTCTCGTCTTCAATATAAATTAATATTTTCACTGCATATATAAATCAAAATAGAATCGAGAAAACAATAATGTTGATGTGTGTTGTTTTCCTTATAGAGTAGAGTATTTATGAGTTCATACGTTTTTAATACGAGACGGGTAAGTTTAGAGGAAAGAGAGAAGATTGCCTGCTGACATCTCTTTTACCTCCGTCGGTTTCTTTGTCACGTTTCACGAAACAACTTTAGGTCCACTGTTAGAAGATGTTTAACGAGATAGTGGACAGGATGCTCGACTCGTTGACTATTAATGACTCGAATACGCAGTTATGCCTCAGATATAACTTGCATGAGACATTTAGGTAATATTACATTTTTAGTATTAAATGTGAAAAATATTTAATATATAGTAGACTTTCACCAAACATAAACTTCGAGTAAAACCTTTAATGTTAAATGAAGTGTTATTAATGATGAAACAGAAACCGCTAACTTTAATCAAAAAATTTTGAGCATTATTGTTAAAGTTTGATTGAAAGATAGAACAAAATTATAAATCTCATAATTTTCTTTGATATTGAAAACGCCAAAAACTATAATCAAGAAGAAGAAAATAAAGCGTAGATAACGTCGCGCAACGTCGAGACAGCGTTTTGCGGCGGACAGTTTCGAGAGGACGGAAGAAAGAGAAACAATGAATGAAAAGGCCAAGCCGAAGATTTGTGGAGCCACCGGTTTTCGTCTCGCAGTCGTCTTCGTGGTTGACGTATATGTTATTCGAAGAAGAGTCTTCCTCCCGCGAGACTGCGACGAAGGGGTGACGGAGGAGCGACGAGGGGGAGGACAGCAGCATACACTCGCGGAATACCTAACGACTTTGGGGGCTTTAGGACCGGCTAGAAGGGACCGTGTGGCCCGCCGTAGAAGTCCCAAAAGTCGCAGCACACGGCGAAAAGAAGCCGAAGAGGGGGGGGGGAGGGTCGAACGAGACTCGTCGCGCGCACAACGTTTTTTGCGTTTAAACCTCCTCCGTCTCGCCTTTTATTTGGGCCAGACGGGAATTCGGCTAAATGCATTGATTAAACTGCTGACATCGTTCGGACGGCCCGGTGGCCACCGTGTCTCCGCAGGTCCGAAAGAGTTGGCCCTTTTTTGCCCCGCCGCGCCGTCCGTCCTCCCTTTCATTTTTTTCCCGCCACTTCGGACCGCGAATCGTAACTCGTAACTCCACGTTCGACAATCGGTGTTTCGTGCAATCGGCGACCAGGTATGAGCGGATTGTGTTGGTCAAGAATTTAGCAAGATGGAATCTGGCGATCCGATCGCGAGACGGAATTCCGTTGCAATCACCCTGCTCGTTACATTAAAATAATAGCACACTTGTCACAGTAACTGATTTCATTAGTTTACAGAAAACAGGTGATGAAGACAAAGTGAGAGAAAAGATGGAATATATAATCTAAAGTGTAAATATTCAATTAATCGTAAATTATAGTTCATGAAGATAGATAATATCTATGTAAAAAAATCTAGTGTTTCCCTGATACCCTCTTAACTGACTCTTATTCGATTAACGCTCACGTAGGTATATGTGCTATCGATTCTATCTTAATAGACGTGCGAAGCGATAGCTGGCGTGTCGTTAATATTCCCGTAATACGGCATAAATATACGGGAGATGTGAAAAGAACGCGGGTAATACACGGCTCGAGATTAAATTGACAGGCAATCTTGTCGCGTGTTTCCGTAACGAGGTAAGAATGATTGTATAGATATATTAAAATAGCACACGCACAGATAGAATAATTATATGGGTAACATATAAGTGTCAAATATAACAACTTACTTGTGCAGAGATTAGTTTTCTCTCGATATGTAAAACTCAATCTATCTTTCCGATTTAAAACAAACATTTAATTGGTCAGATTGAACGATTATACGAGACGAGGTTTTTCCTCTTTGGTTTTTACGGAACTACCCGGCTCTTTTAATTAGTCCGGACCTCAGCACGATACGAAAAACGCGCCATGGCCGGGTTCGTGGTGGCACGAAATGCAGAAACGAATGCGTCTTTTCGCAGGTCGTTCGGCGGACGAGGTAAGGTTTGGCATGCATCGCTCGCTCCTTCGAACAGCAAAGAGCCATCTATGGAATTACCCCGATGATTAATGGTACGGCGCTGGCTCGGGGCACCCTTCCACCTTGTTTTCCAATCCTCCTCTGCCCCTCTGCACGCTCCTCTTTCTCCTTTCCCCGTCTCCGATCGCCTACGTCCGCCAACGGCCTCCACCAACGTGCTACCAGCCACCGGCCCATCTTGGGCCTAACAGCTCCGGGGGCTTCGAAACTCGCTGTACACGAGCTGGCCGACGAACTGTTCAGTTACCGTGTAAAAAAGCGTACAATGTTTAAGTCCGCGTAGTGCCGACCGTATCTCATCCGCCCGTCCGTCCGTCTGTCTGTCTGTTCCTCTCTTCATCCTGTCTTCTCGATTTAATCTAGATTAAATATTTAGATTACTTTGCGTATCGCAATCGTGAACTTTATTAAGATCCAGCATGGCTTTTCGCTTTTGTATACTTGTTGTTAGTTGACATGTTGCTTGCGGGTAGTTATTTGCAAATTGTTCGCGGAAAAGCCTTCACCTCTCGTTTAAATTTTCAATAATTTAACACACGAACAAATAATGACGTATACAATGACTTATTTTCAATAATTTAACACACGAATAAATGATAACGTGTACGATGACTTCTACTTTGTCTCTTTTTTGATTTTCATACTTTATTTTATTATTACTGGATACAACAGTCAAGAAGTACCTGCTTCTATTTCTTTTTTTTCTATAGTGCTTGAACGTACGTTTTATTTTATCCATATATGTGTGATGTAATAATTTTACATGCAATTTCAAAGTCTTTAGAAACAGATTTTTAACTTACACTGAATAGATCGCATTAAGATCTTTGCCTAAGGCAACCGTTTCTACGAAAAATCGCTTTATCTGGGAAATGAAATCAACGGTGCGAAGGCATCGGTTAGTCTTTCGCAAAGTCATAATCGCTAGTCACGAGAGTCAGAAAAAAGGAAACTACGGGACGAAACTACAGGTACTATAGGCACAGGTACGAAGGACAGAAAAGGGGAGAGGGTACGGCGATATGACCCAGGGCAAAGTCGAGCGGCGCTGTGTGTAAAGAAGGAAGAGAGCGCGAGATATAGTGAATTCGGGATCGCATGTCGGGGAACAGTAAGACCTCCCAAACAACCCCGACGGGGGCATCTTCCCTGGGAATAGCAGTGATTCCGGGGAAATGTGCAATATCTTCCGTGATCGGGTATTATTACGTCGTGATTACGGGTTTTGATCTAGGCTAGAAGCGTCCAGAGACCTTCCCCTCTTGCCACGCCACTACCGTAGTCCTCCCCTTCACTCCTTCTTCCCCTCGGCGCTCCGTGCACCGTCTCGCAGTGCCGATATTCGTGGCGATGCAGCGTCGATGATGCGGCCGATGAGGAACGGAGCCGAGGGAACGGCACGGAACCCCGGGTAGGGAGACGTATTGTCCTCGGCGACTGGTCGCTATCGTCGCCGTCACGTCGTCATGCGATTCGTGACGGCCGCCACCGCGAATCGCCGTGGGAAGCCACGTAGCTTCCATTCCGCTTTCTCTCCTCTTCTCCGTCCCACCTCTTTTTCTATTCCGGCGCACTCCGCTCTCCGTCTCTTCCTCTCGATTATGAGCGAACGGGGTAATGAACGACCTATGCCGCAATGCCGTTGCCCGCGCGTTGCCGACTGCTCCTTCATCTCCTCCCTCGCGATAGTCCTGCCACGAAAACGGGCCGGCGATTCCTGTCGGTCCGCTACCCATGAGATCCGATCAGATCTAACTGTTTCGAATCGGAACAGCGGCACGATCGAGACATGCTCCAACTAGCACCGCGCTTCATAATTGGAGTATGAACTGTACGTATTCCTCGTGTTCGGCTCGCTGCTTCTCGAGAGGTATATCCTTTCAGGACGTGGGATTCGTTCTCTCAATGTTTCAAATACGAAGACATTCTATAAAAACATGTATAAATTTTTCAAGAATTTTTTATTTTAATCTTTTTTTTTCAACAGATGCGGAATAACTTCTTTGAGATGAAAGAATATTTTATATATTTACTCTATTATTTAACCAAGACTAAAAAGTATTAATCATTACATGTTATCATCGTGAAAAGTTGATATATAAGTCGTGAGTATGATTCTTAATCACGAAGGCAGGAAGTGCATCCGTAGAAGAGGGACTATAGTGGACGATGTGAAGAACATTATAGTATATAGGTACACAGCTATAGTCGTTCTTTAGTCGAGAGTCTAATGACAAGTAGCACGCGATCGCGCGTCGCATGTAGGTTCGCACTTTGGGACCCGAGATTGCCGGGGGAGACATTATGAAACCACATGAGACAAAGGGTGGAACGGAGTTAAGTAGACGGTATAGCTTTGGGGTGGGTAAGAGAGAAAAAGAGAGGGAGGAAGAAAAAGAGAGAGAGAGAGAGAGAGAGAGAGAGAGAGAGAGAGAGAGAGAGAGAGTGAGGAAGAGGAGAGCCGTGGGGTGAGGAGGAGAGGCACATCGGCCCGCATTGCGGAACGATGCGCAACAGCTGCACCTGA